TTTATTTAATGTAATATATCGCCTCCCGCCTAGATTAGTTTAGTGCTATTTGCGGGAGGGTGATAATTTGTGTAAATATAGACATTCTTTTATAAAATAAACTTGAACTTGAACTTGATCTGTACACGCAAAAATAACTTGGAATAAACTGATAATCAGTATTGTACAGATAAAAGCAGGTATAGTATAAATTCAATTAAGAAACCTTTCGATTTGGGACAGTTTTTTGATTGGTTACTCACCAAAAACGCAAGGCAATATGGGGATGTGAAAGTCGAGAATTTTTATCTTAGTAGATCTACTACATACATGTATATGTACAGTAAATCAGTACGACTTTTTTATATATAGTGGGTTTTTTTAATTGTAGTAATCAATTCGATCATTTCTCACTAAAAACATTATTCCCCAAGGATAATCCTTCAAATAGGCAAAGTTTCATACTGGAAGTCAAGCACAAAACATTGCGAAGACCCTTTCTCCCTTTCTTTCGTCGAGAGAAAGTTTCACGAAAAGTAAAACTTCTGTAATGGAGCTGGACCTCGTCGAAACCACGGGTCTCCACCAATGTTATGGGACGACTGCTCTCGGTATGTGCTTCGGGATCTTTATTCTACTTTCTGTTCTCTCTGTGTTCTCCGTGTGTTTAACTAATTACATGAGCTTTATTCATAATAATTATATGACAGATGTCATTCTACAATCAATATGATAATATCGTTGAATCATGATTGGCTAAAGGAATAAGTAAATTCCTGAGTGTGATATCTTAATAACGAGTAATACGAGTAAAAATCTTAGAATTAAACATAGCTTAAACTAAAGTTAATATATGAATATATTGTAAATGTATAGAAAAGGCTACGAGGAATATTTCTATCATAAGATTCAAAAGAATAGTGCTAAAATAGCTAAGCAAAGGGGTAAAAAGTGTGTAGGGTGTAACCAGAGGTGCACATGCTAAAGGGAGGAGATTTAATTGTGAATTCAATGCATACCATTATCTAAACTTGTGCGTGATGGTAGACTTACTGAAATCTTATATCGATATTTTTATATCGATAAGAAACAGTAATTAGAAAACTGATGTCTAGCTTAGTCTGTAAAAACATTAATTTTCTCTTTCATAACACTTCTTTCTGCTCGTGCAACCGAAACTTGTGTCGCGAACAGTTTCAAAACGGAATTGCGGAATGTACTGACACCCCCGTGAAACTTGTCTCGCAACGTAACGCTGTTGTACACAAGCTTCAGCTAAAAGTTTCCGAACGTCTGTAACAGAGCCTTGAAACACATTTTAGAAAACTGGAAAAATTATTTGTTTTTTGATTCATGAAAACAGAAATCTCAAATCGCATTTGATTGCGATTTCTGATTTTTGATCACCGGAATTTAATTAACCAGATTGATTGCTAAACATCCTGATTGTCATCGTCACCGTGGTCATCATCTTTCTGGGAACCAAATCCAATCGGCCGGATCTTCATATCTGCTTGTTTGGCTGAGTAATTGTATCCCTTCCAGGTATACCAGTTGATGCCATCAGCAAATAATTGATGAATGCCATACAAGTATTGCCCATTAAGATTGGTCTGGGTAAAAAAATTAATCAAATTAATTTGAAAAAATGAAACAATTTACGATCAAAGCACTTATCTTAGGTATGACCACTGATATTTCATTGAGAGTTGACTTGGATCAGCGCAGATTTGTTTGTTTGTTTGTTTGTTCGTTGTTGTTGTTGTTGTTGTTGTTTTTGTTTTTTTGTTTGTTTTGTTTTGTTTTGTAAAATATATTCAGCACTCGCGTAAGGAGGGGGGAGGGGGAGGGGGAGGGGAACGGGGTGCACGTGTCCCCCCAAAAACATTTGCTCTCGGCTTCAGAATTTATTTAGTTCGTGCGGGATTCCTGTGGATTTGGCGGGAAAGTGATACATTGCCCCCATCCCCCCTATAATCGAGACCTTGCTCGCCCCTGATAGAGTAAAAACCCGCGTATAAGAACCTAAAATTTAAGAACTGTTAGGCTAAAATTTCATTTTTAAGCACCCTTCACATAAGAACCATTTTAGGCTAAAATCCTAAAATAGGTTCTTATTTAAAATTAAAAAAATTGAATCAATCTTTTCAAAAATATATTTATAACGCAGTCTGTACACAATAATGCTATAAACACTATAACTGTACATGGTTACTGTAAAGAACATTTCCTCATTGAATAAAAAAATCCAACTTAAAATGAAACTGAGATGAACCTTTGATCTTATGAAATCACAGTACATGAATTCAATATAGAATACGCTGTAATTGGACATTAAAGACCAGACTACAGTATTCAAAAATACTACTTTATTTCTTGAGCAAAAGTTAAGAACTTAATTAAGAACCTAGTTAGCCTAATTTAACACTAAATACCATTTATATAAGAACCTGTTTAGGCTAACTTGAAAAAACCTAGGTTCTTATAAGCGGGTTTTTACTGTATTCAGGATTTAATTAGTTTGGCTTACCAGTAACACTACTACAGAACTCACCCTGTGGCACCTATTGTACCACCATGCGCCCTTGAACATGACAGCACAGTTATGTTTCGTATGTTTGTCGTTATCAGAATCAAATGTCGTGAAATAAGAGGAATTCTGGAAATAGAAAGAGTCGCCTGCTCCACCTGTTATGAAAATAAATAAAAGAAAATAAAACTAGGAAATAAAAATGAAAATAGATTTCTCGTCAGTACTAGTACAAAAATAGCAAATAATGGCGAAAGAAAATGTGGAAGATTGAAAAATAAAAATGCCGAAACATGTGTACTATAAACAATGAAGGATAAACTATGAAAACTATTAAATAGCTCAAATCAAAAATGCCTAAGTATCTACAATCTCCTGCAAAATAAATTGTGCCACCTGCTCATTATCGAAACCATATAGTTAGTGGATAAAGTTAGTGGCATATTATTATTGCAGAAGCCTTACCGCCTTGGAAGTTTCCCAAACTTAGACGATATTTTTCCAATTCCGACTCTACCCTAAACGCGCTATACGCCGCGTATGCTCCTATCCCGTCAACGTCTTTGAGGTCCACCCTTATCTCGTTAGGCACTCTGTTTGTCAAGATATGTATCGCATCTAGTCCAAGCCAGTATTCTCCATTCTTATTCCCAAAACCTTGCTTATAATCTTTCCATCCACGGTAGAAATCAACCGATCCATCAAGCCTTCTCTGTATCACGGTCCAGCCTCCCCCGTCCGTTACTTGATCACAGTAGACTTGGACGCTGTAGCCTGGGACTGGGGTGATTTCATATACGCCATTTTCGTTCTTCCCGGTACTCTTGAGACTTGCGCACGAAGTTTTGTCTGAAAGAGAAAACAGCTTTAATGTACGGAGTAATATTTTCAGCGGTCTTGTCACTAATGCGAATATATATGAGAACCGATTACAGTGCAACTATAAATATAACTAAAACTAGTTCCAAACTAGTTCCAAAACTAGTCGCTATCTATATAAATATAACCGGGGACATTAATTTATTGTATTTATATTTATATTGTATTGTGTCTATATGCAGAGCTGAATAGAGTGCTCTATTCGCCCCATGTAAGGGAATCCGGACTTATGGTGGATTCTGGATTCCGAGACTCTGGATTCCGGATTCCAAATCCTTTGTATTGCGGATTCAGGATTCCATATCGTTAATTTGCATCTGATGACAGATATTCTTGGTGGAGATATTACACAGTGCGGGAGGGGTTACATCGGTTCAGTCTAGGTCGAGGCGATAGCATTTGAGTGTAGACTTTGAATTTCAAAGTAGTGGATTCCGGATTCCAAAAGGGTGGATTCCGGATTCCATTATAAACTGGATTCCGGATTCCGGATTCCCTTACATGGGGCGACCACCTTCAATATTTTTATAAGTTTTTACTCTCAAAAGGACTTGATAGTTAAATCGATAATGGTTACCATGCTTAATGATTGTTAATCAGTAAAAAGAKAAACTTACCAATGCACTTGAAACTATCCAATGAGTATAAATCACGCTCACAAGTCAGTTTGCTGTGGCAAGGATTGGATACACAAGGGTTCTGAACACACGGAATATCATCAATTACGTTTAAGTTTATTCACTCACATAATACAAAAATTATACGATAGAAATATTACAGATATTACGAATAGAGGATATTACCAAAAATGATGCAGTCAATTCAAAAAACGTTGTCGTCGACCGACTCAAGCCTACGCGACTGGACCGAAAGAAATATGGGTAAAAATCACTGAAGCGGTTAAATATTCGTTCTGAATTAATTGTTCCCGCTAGTAATAAGATAATAATGACGAGAAACAATCCATCAAATGAATGTCTTCAGGTTTAGGGAAAGAAAAACAAAGTAGTTATGATTCGGTTCACAATTTCGAAAATATRAAGGCATTAAAAAAACGTCTCCTTCAACACTTCACCTACGAAGGTTCGTGCTCTAAACCAGGCATAACTAGTCAGATAAAATTATGAAATTATGGAGTCAACTCGGCTTCAATGATTGCTACCCAGAGTTCCTTTAGGTCCAGTCGCGTAGGCTTGAGTTTGGTCGACGAAAACATTTCTTGAATTGACTGTATAAGTTCGATTCAACAAGGTATTATTGGATATTACTAGATTACTAGATTATTGTCTACCATAGATTACTACTGCTACTACAAAAATCCCTTGCAAGCGTTTTCTTATTTATCAATACTGCAGTTTCGAATCTTTCGAAATTGTTGATATATACTTTTTGTTGAAAACCCCCAAAATTCAATTCAATGCGTCGAGAAATTCCATGTAGTAATAAGTCAGCATTTTATTCATTCGTTTTTATCAACCTACCTTTATCGCGCAGTACTCGGCACCTGCTAGAGATTTGACGTCACTAGGGTGTTCCACGTGATCCGTATTACTTAACTCACACACCCGTTTATCTTCTTTAATCTGGGCGAGATTATAAGAAATACATTTTTGTTCATAGCACCAGTGTTTACAGTTCTGTAGAGCATCATCAACGCGCATGTCAATCTTCTTAAACACGTGACCTGCTAGGTGTTTGTCTGTTTCGCAGGGTAAAAACTCTATCTGTTTACACCTGCCTTCGCCTGTAAAGAGGGAGATTTCGCGTAAAATATTCATTTGCTTTTAGTAAAGATCCGTGGAATTTCAAAGTGTTTGTATCAGTGTTGAAGTTGTGTATTAAGAGAGAATTCTTTTCGTATTCAAGCGGTGAGCGCCAAAAACTATTTTCTTGAAGAAAGGCTGTTGTACAAGGCTAAAATCTTGTTATTCAGAAAGTTTAACTTGTTTGGAAGTACATGGAGATGACCGATGAAAGTGGAATCAAAGTGTTAACCCAAAGCAAAAATTTTATTCGAAAATGAGGTTTAGGCCTTCATTTGCTTATTTCCCATATATTTTCTATAAAAAAAAGCCTGACAAAGCTACATTCTAACACAAATGCAACAAAACATCTTTGTACAATTGAAAATACCGCTTCAAACAAGCATTTCATCATAGTACATCAGTTTCTATCTGTTAAAAAAAGGTTTTGAGTGTTAACCCAAAACGAAAATTGGGATCAAAACTCATACGAAGGTCTAGTTTTGGCGCTTTTTGCCATTATTGCTCGTTAATTAAAATTTCCTCTTAATACTTTACTGATTGGTATTTGTTAGTATTTGACACTCAAATGAGGCTATACTGAGTAATGAGTCTGTAATTAAGGAACACAGCGGTATACCTATATTTGCTAAATGTTCTCGGTCAATCAGAGGCGAGAGATCAAGAGTGTGTGAAGTGTGTTATAATAATTTATGATGTGTTGGAATGAACGCAATCAGAATGAGATTGGGATTCATTTCCGCGTGTTTCTGACCGCCAATTTAAGGTCAATTTTTTGAAACAAAACAGTAACAGAATAGATACTAAGTAAGAAGGAAATTATAAAAAGTAGAGCAATTTTGAGGTAACTCTCGAGCGAAGATTAGCCTGAAACTGGGACTGGCCAGGCTTAGAGTTTTTTTTTTGTTTTTTGTTTTTGTTTTTTGTCATTCGGATTCACTTTTTGTACCAAAAATGACATAAACGACACTATCTCTGCGTTCAAGGCTGACAAACAAAGCTGCAGGACACAGTGATCACGTGATCACGTAATTTTTTGTGCTTCTGTCGCAATTATTTTCACGTTAAACATAACGATCTTCTGCTTCGCTTCTTGAGATTTCTCTTCTTTACTTCTCTTCCTCTTTTTTATCTTTCTCCCTCTTCATTCTCTTTCACTTCTCATTTCTTGTTCTTATTGTTCTTCTTCCCTTTCTTGATCTTTTCGAATTTTCAGTTCTTCTGCATGTTGCATTCTTAACTTTCGCGCTCAACATTGAACTTAAAACCACTAATATGCACATATCTTAARGTTTTAAAACTTTTTCTTTCCACAAAGAGTAATAACATAAAAATACATGTACAAATAACACAATTTAAAAGAATTTTATATTAGAAGAAGGGAGTGGAGGTTATATTACAATGTATACAATAAAACATTTCCACAGAAAAACTATTACTAAGACGTCAGACAACTAGCTCCACTCAATATTTTTGTAATTTCGCGTATTTCTTGTAACCTTAACATGATTAGAAGTGTTTGGAAGAAGATACTTGAACTTACCAAACAAGCTTAAGAATAGAAAAAAACCGCTTACCTCTTACAATGCTGGCTGCAAAGAGAGGAATCAGTACAAATAAACCAAACGATATTTCCATTCTTATCCTTGTTAGTACTTGGTCGTTCTGAGCACATTCCACGTTTGGTGCTGAACCAGAATGCTTTATACTGAGTTCAAGCTATATTATATAGAGCGTTTTCACGTGACGTGTACCAATATTAGCAGGTTAATTTTAGCCTGCGTTAAGCCGGTATAATTTGCCAGCTAATTTTCTATCCTCTGGGAATTGAATTCTATTCTTATGCAAATCCAAACTCCTGAGAATTGGAAACCTATTGTTATGTCCTTCAAATTGAGCTGCATTCTGACGTGCTGCGACTAGGGGTCCATTAATTTCTAATTAAGAACTCTCGACATAATATTCAAAAATATTGGTATCATATTTGGACTTATAAATTTCATAATATTCCTAAGGAAGTCTAAAAACCCGGGGGGGGGGGGGGGGGGGGGG